GTGCCAGACTCACAGAAGGTGAAATGCTCGGAGTGACGTACGAAGGCCCTATCCATTCGCTCTACGCCTTGAGCTGTTTCCATTAGCCGCAACTGCGCGTTTTTTTCGGAAACGAGCAAGCAAGCGGTACAAGTGGTGATTGGTTCATACATTTCATAGGATTAGAATGAGTGGAGAAATGAGCCCAAATATCTTGTATTCTGGCTTTCCCTCGTAACATGTGGGTTGCGAGCTGCCGCGCAGTGGAACAATTTCATATATTGAAAGTCTCAACCTTTCGATATCCGGAGCAGGCTTATCCAGCTGCACGCAGTAGGTGTCTGCGGCAGCAGTGGTGACACTGTTCGAAATCTGCAATGATGCAATCCTACAATCGGAGATCGGGACCTTGTTCACCTACTGGGGCTCGTTGCCGCCGCTGAACTGCACGTTCCTATAGTGATGCCTCCCTATGTTGCTTGAGTAGACTGCGTATCCTCAACCCCAATGACCCCTTACCTAGCCAATCGAAATTACGACTTTTGGGCAACAAACTTTGGGAGATGATTACACGTGCCTTTCTGGCCACCTTGTCCAACTCGTGAGAATTCCGTGTTCCCAGCGGGTACGATTTTTTTTATGGCTCGAAGAGAACGACACATGGTGCAGTGAAAGGACTGAAGGTTCAGTGCAATTCGACAAGTACTGGTGCCGGGTTGTTTACAGGAAACGTCTGCATGCGGTCAATATCTACGGTCATCGGGTGTCCGAAATGTGGTTGGTCTTTAGGGCCGTAGTAGCCCTGACAAAGTTTCCCAAGCCACTTTAACAGATATTCACTTTTAGCGAGTCTGGCCCTCCAGATTCACAAATAATCCGACAGATTCCTTTTGCTGAGTACCCTAGACGGAACTCGTAATATAGACAGTGACGGACATGTGTTGAGATGAAAGGCATTGTTTCTCCCCAACCCTTTGAGGACCGTGCGCTCTAAATGTGTCTAGCGTGTAGGAACGCACGCCAGACACACATTGGCCCGCCGCCAGGGTGAATATCGCTTGAGGATTCCTGAACGGCACGTCGAGGATTCTCTGCCCTATCAGAGACGATCTCTCGCGCGTACATTCACACTCGCCATGCCGTGCCGTCTGTGCTTTCCGCACGGATGTTCACTCTCGGCACTACTCTCGCATGGTAGAGAGCTATGGTCGAATATTTCCTCAACCGTTATTCACCCTGCCTGCCGGTCCCTATACGGTCCCAGAAGACCGCATTTTTGCTTAATTATAGCAATATTGACAAAACTGCGAACTTAATAAGTCATGGTAATAATGAACCATACATTCTATCGCAGACAAATATCAGCAAAGTAATTAAAAAGATCAATAAAAAGACCTAAGAATTCATAAGCGTCTTGATAGTACTGTTGAAGCAGCAGCTGCCAAAACCAACTAAATTTCTACACAAAACTCGCATTCAAAAATTGACTAAATTTCAATACGGTTGCTTCTTTCGAGCTTCTTTCTTCAGGTGGTGTGGTGTCGACAATAAGTAATGTTATTCACTAGACGGTTACTAACATACGCTGAATACCAATTGTTTGACTCGATGGGAGTCTCAGGTATAGTTAGGCTTTTTGACAAGGCAGCCGTCTGCTGCACCTGTCAACTCCCACCTTTGCTTACATGTTTGTTTGTATTACACCTACTTGACAATATTTTTCGCAAGGCCAAACAGTTTTGGCATGGCAACAGTTCCTATCGACTGAATCTTGTAAGGAATATCATTATAGTGGCAACAGTTGGCACAAGGAGGACTGCTGAGGTTTTTCAAAAATCACCTTATGCGTTGTATTCTTATTCTGATAGATATTTTCGCTAATATTAGCATTGGAAGGTGTTTCTTTTCCTTATTCCTTTTTTGGTATTCTCCTCAAGAGAAAGCAATCCATGGACCACCATGTACATAGCTTTGTTGGGGCGTTGTGTACACATTTAGTAATTGAAAATTCCAAAAATATCAAAAACGAGGAAATACAAGAAATTAGTTGCCATGGCTCGCCATACGACCCCACGCGACCGATTTGGCGTGGCCGCCGGCGGGTCAAGACCTTAAAGACAAGTATTGGGTTGGTGCAATGCCGTAGCGTTTTCTTTTCGAACTACAAATCTATAGAATACAAGTATAACCCAAGAAACACATATACCATTTGAAAGCGCTTGTTCTGTTGCCCTACAATACCATTTTTGGCATTCTATACTGTGGGTGTACTCAGATATAGCGCTTAGAAATTGGAGAATCAAGGTGGGCGAAAATCCATATAGAGAAGAAGGCTGCCAAAATAGGAGATTTTCGGAGTCCATCGTCATCATCAAACCTTACTCCGGTCGTCCCTTAATTTCAAATCAAATTCACGTCATACATATTGGAAATAATGAGGATTCTAGAAGCGGGCTCACTACCCTTTTCTGATTTCTAAACCTGGTAATTTCTTGCGAAATGGAACGAAAGTCGTAAATAATGATGAGAAGAACATCACTGATCAGTTTTATGCTTAGCTTTGCACTTGGGTTTTGCTTTAAACGTTTCTGCCAAATGCGAGCGCTACGATATCATGCACCGACCCAATACTAACAGTTGAATTTTGTTTATGAAAGGACATCAAGGTCGCCACATATCCAAAACAACACAGATATTTTTCTAAAAATGATGGCGTGGATATGAACAAATCGGTACTAACTTATGGACCAACCTTAGTGTCACATGTACAATACTGATACTAATTGTTCAATCGACGGTTTGCGACGGGTAAAAACCGTCGCAAACCGTCGCAAACCGTGCCTCGCCATAACTCTTAAAAAAATTGTTCACGCGATTTGAAATTCACACCAGCTGATAGATCTCCTCGAGATCTACAAAATGCTAGATTTCAATTTTCGAAAGAGCTTTTAGGATTGCAGTAGTGGTAGGTCCATTATGACATTCCCCACTTTTAGATGAGATGTTTTGTGGGAACCTGAGAAAATAGCGAAGTAATCTTTCTACCTGCTGGACTACGGTTACTTCGCTGTAGAAATCTGGTAAAATATTTGGTCGCAGGCGAGCGTTCCTGGTGACTGCGTGTGACTCGAAACATCACTGCTCGTTATGTCCTTGTGAAACGATCATTTTTTGCTTGTCTAGAAGGACTTTGGAACCTGAAATGTGCCTCATTCGACTTCCCATAAAAAATACCATCAAATGGTGTACAACACAGGTTGCACACGAATTTTTGCTTATTCACCTTTTTCTCCCCATTGGCGATCGTCTTTCCAGCCCTTGGCGGCCACGTGCGATTCGCGTGCACCTCGCCGACTCGTTACCCATCGCATCTCTCTCAATTGACTATTTAATTAATTGCTAATCAAGCTCAATTATAGTTCAGAGAAGGTGAACAGCTGATATTCATGTCATCAAAGTTTTTTCCTTCGACAACTCCAGAGCTAATCTACTGAACTCGCAGTGATAGAAGGCTGGCTAGACTGGACGCCGTGCCGTCGATTACTCAATCCCCTAGCCGTGCGTGTGGAAAACGCCGTTTCTTGCCACTCCGTCGCTGCATATTACCAATAATGATAAAGGATCCTACTTACTATAGAGCGTTTCGTCTGTCGTTCTGTCTGCCGTCTGTCGTCTGCCGTTCTGTACGTCTGTCACGAAATTCCCTAAATTCTGAGGATTGGCCTGGAGAGACCGGGTAAAGTGTGGGATGGGTGGGCAAGGTCTTGCGGAGTACAAAGCAGACAGCAGCTAGGCAACGCCCCGCCTACAATGGGCGTGGCGTGCATCGAAATAAATGACGCTGACGACCAGAATTTCGGAACTGTACCAGAAAGCCTCGAAACTGGGGGGTGGAACGTAGGTAAAGGTGTGCATTGGTAGGTTAGATCGAACCGAGGACAACTAAGCCGGGTGGACGGGGCGTTCTCAAATTAAGCAGTGCTTAACAAAAATTGATAACTTGCTTAGGAGAAGGCTTACAGAGCAGAAAAAAACAGGTGCAGGGAAGCAATGTCTAAAGTAATCCGGCATACATGACGAGAGTGGAGGCCCGCCCAAAATGGGCGGAGCGAGCTCTAAATTGTAGGCATTTTCTACAGTTCCTCATAGTTCGGACAGAAGTCTTAGGGGGCCATAAAAAGGTGGATAGAGATGGGTGGAGGTGTGGAGTTCAATTGTTGGTGGTGGGCGGCGCATGATCAAACTGGGCGGAGTTTGCAACAAAATTAATAACTCGTTCCAAGAAGTCCTGGAGACAAGGAAAAAAGTGAGGTGAGTCCGCCAATGGGAGAGGGGCCAACTGCTGCTGGTGGGTGGAGCGTGCACCAAAGGGGGCGGCGTTATTCACAAAAATCTACAACTCGATTCCAAGAAGTTCTGGAAACCGGAAAGAAATGGATGGTATCTGACTATAAAGGTGAAGTCAATTGCCATTGGGGGGGGGGGCGGGCCCGCACCAATGTGGGTGGGGCTCGTCAAAAATTTCGTAGTTTCGTTCCAAGAAGTCTCAAAGACCTTCCGTTGGCGGCCCACTTTTTTCCCGATCTTCTAGACTTTTCGGATCTGAGTTATAAGTTCAGGAAAAATTCTGCCCACGTTGGTGTACGCCACTCACGATAACAGTTGACTTCCTTTCCATTGACGGACTAGCTGAGCTTAGTTGGATTCTATCCGCTTCATCGTCGATGGCTTTCGACCTCTCTTTCTTCGTCAACCATTATTCGCCTTTTCCCGGATTCTGGACTGCTTCTTGACCGATTTATAAATCTCTTCGCAAACAGCCTATTGCGTGCAGCCCCACCCATCTTTTTCCTCCTTGCCTCCCACGTTTGCCGATCTTTAGAACCCTTAGAAATGCATAATAATTCAACTTCAACAAACTCTAGCAACTTTGGTGGTCCCTTCTCGTTCCAATCGCATTTCCAGGTCCGCATTTCCTCTTCCAATCTCGATTCCTTCGACTGTAGGCGACGTCGCTTCACTTTTAGGTGGTCGATGGCGTCCGTACTGCGGTCCTTTTGCCATGTCTTTTCAATGAGAAGGTTGATTTCAATGGTTTCCTTTCGGACACTATGGAGCTCCTTCTCTGTTTCGTCCATTTGACGCAAGATCCTGTCCAGCTCTGAGCTGGGCTCCGCCGGCGTAATGGTCCTCGATGTATCGATGCTGGGTAGGCGTGGGCTAAATTCATCGAAGCGTTCGCAGAGGCCCTTGATGCCGTCCAATAGTTGCTCGAGGTTGATTGCAGAAACTTGTTCTCGTAGTTGCTTGAACTCGTCGAAGAGTTCATTCCAGTCATGGTCCTTCTTCTTATGCTCGTCCGAGTCGGCTTCTTCGATGTTGTTCTTGACCTGTTCTTCCATTTTACCGAAGCGAGCTGTAAGAAGATTGATTTTCATGTCAACCTTGTCGACTTTTGCTTCATTCGATTTGCGCAGTTTCATATTCTGCTCGTGATACGTTTTCACAAGTTGCTCAAGTTACTGGAGACGCTCCGTTGTTTTGCACGACGATGAGACTGATACCACTGGAGCGAGCTGGTCGACCTTACTTGCAGCGTGACAAAGGATCCTACTGCCCGTCTGAAGGAGCTCTTTCAGTATGCCACCAGATGCGGGTTCATTTTAGGAGGAGGATCATCAGATGAGAATGATGAGGAAGTGGATCGTTAAGTGACAAATCTTATGACAATGAAGATGATTCTTGATCACTCGTTGTCTTCGTAGACTGTTCTGGACGAGTTGCCTTTGAAGCCGTCTTCTTGCTTTTGAGTGCTGGCTCTGGTCTCTTGGCGACCTTGGCTGTGGCGTCGATAGGGACTGCTTCCTCCATAGCTAAAGAAAGGATGAACAGATACTAGGTTAGGCAATGTGGAATATGTTAGACAGAACAAATCGTAGTTTTTTCTTTTTTTTGCATGTATATATTTTCTTTGACATTTTGTGGATGTCTAGTTCCATGCGTCAGTGCTTGGCATAGCTAATCCTTCGCTGCATGATGACTGAAAGTTTGTTCTCGTCGACCGCAGGTTGTAGCGGATTTTTTCTTGTCCTTCATTCCTGGTGGGGTCCTCACACTATTGCTCGTTGGCTCTGAGATCGTACCCGATTCATCGACGGGCGATTGGTAAGGGTCTCCTATCTGCAGTGGAATCAGTAAATTAAGGGGACGACGTATTGTGCGTCTGTTTGGCATTCGAAGTTCCACTTCTCGTATGACTCATTTTCGTGAGTAGTTGATCTTTGTGATTCTCCCTATTCTCCAGGAATTTCGAGGCAAACTGCTACGGCAATCAACACAACATGACCCACTTCAGGACTCCTGGGTGTACTGCGCTTGTTATCGATGTGAAGTTTGCGCGACTCTCGCAGTCCTCTTAAATACTGCTGGCTCCAAATACTCCAGAACGTTCTGTCAGCTGATAGCTCTTTTTGAGGGCGTCCTCAGCCTGATGACGAGTCTCCAGCACGGCAGCTTCTTCAGATGGCTGGTACCTATCGTCTGCTCCTTCCTCTCCGATAGTTCCAAACGGGTACGTAATGACCATATCTCGTTTAATGAAGTCAATTGGACGAGGAATCGGTGTCTCGTCCCACTACTCCTCCTGATAGGTTAGAGGTCTGCTGTTTACTCTGCCTTCTATTTCTACCAGGAGGGTTTCCAGAATTTCCTGTGTCCTACAGCGGACCGTGCCTGACTGTGTCGGCACGGTCCGCTGCAGGACTTTGTAAAGGCCGTGTTTAATTGACTTTATCAGACGCTCGTATATAGCTCCTTGCCACGGAGCATAGGGCCTGTTCGTCTTCCACACGATTTCTTTCTCTGCCATCCCCTGAGCGAACGAAATGTCGTTTATCACGGGAAATTCTGCACTGCTGAGGATTTCCTCGCCGAGTAAAAAGTTTGTAGCGTTATCCGACGTGATACTTGCCGGCACTCCTCGCCTAGCACAAAAGCGTCGCATAGCAAGTAGGAGATGCGTCGTGCTCATGTCAGGTCCCAGTTCAAGATGAACTAATCAAGTCACTGCACATGTTAGGATCATTCCATAGACCTTCGCGATCTCGTCATCTTTCTTTATTGGCAGTGGTCCGAAGTAGTCAATGCCCGTGTGTTCAAAGGGTCGGGTCCTCTGCACTCGCCAAGCAGGAAGATCTTCCATCTCTGAATATCTGTATGGAAGACTGTTCATCTTCTGACAAGGCACACATCTGGTAATAACCGATCGGACAAGCTGTCTGAGTTTCATAACCAGAATTTTTCTCTGACGTTCGCCATGGTGTGGGCTGTTCCATAGTGAAGAGGGGAGTGCGCATGCTGCACTATGAGGCGAGCGAGATCTGTCTTACTAGCGATAATACATGGATATTTGGTGTCGATAGAAAGTCCGGAGTTTACAAGTCGTCCGTAGCAGCGCAGCATCCCTTGATCATCTTCTTTGAGTTTCAACTGTTTCAGAGCGGTTTGTCTCTTTGGTGGCAGATGGACCCTTTGATGATTGCGGACGAGTACCCGTAGGGTCATCTCTCGCTCAATTGTCGTTACATACGGAAGCATTGTTACAGAGCGGAGTTTGGGTACACTCTTCTCTACTTCTTTTTGAGACTGATGTTTACTTGACTGAGTAGCTGCTTGATGAAACGAAGAACGTAGGCTACCACTCGCTGAACGTGGGAGGTTGCTATGCCGCTTACAGTCAAGTAGCTCACGCATGGAATCGCCTGTTTCTGCGTATAGCATGAAAGTAACTTCGTCCTGGCAGTCCCTTGACAGTGAGAACAACTTGCTGTATTCAGGCCAACTTTCAATCGGTTGTGAGATGTAAGGTGGTCCCTTCCACCACATGTGGCCTTCGAACTCTTTTCCTGTCACTCCTCTCGTCGCACAGTCGGCTGTATTTGCTGCAGTATTCACCTATTCGAACCGAACTGGCGGATGAATTGCACTGACAATTTTCCTTATCTCACGGACACGATTTCTCACTAGCACTCCAACGGATTGGTCGACTGTATTGGAAGCGATCCAGCTGAGAGCAATCTCGGAGTCGGAAAGAATTATCACATCGCGTATTGTCAGTCATCTTTGATTGCCTCATATAATGTATATACCAACCGTACGGCCATTGTCAGTGCGTTTAGCTCTTGTTTTGGTATTGTTGAATTCTCCTTTATCGAAGGCAACTCGGATTTCCCTGCCATAAGGTGAGATTCGGAGTCTGGCGCGATGTAGGCGCCAGACTCCGATAGTGCAACAAGTTTCACGCGCTCGTTGAGCTGGGCAACCCTTCTCGGTATCTTGAAGTGGAATCCGTCGACTGCGTGAATAATCTCTTTCCACTGTTTTTGATGCCTTTGCTCCAGAGGCTAATCCCAGCTATACTCACATTTCCACAGCTGTTGTAGAAATCGTTTTCCATGGACAGTTATTGGTGTCAACCAGCCCAGTGGATCGTATACTGAAGCCACTTGCTTGGATACAATTCTCTTAGTGACCTTCTCTCTGGGTGGATAAGCACATGTCAGATTTAACGTGTCCTCCGATGACCCACAGTATGCCCAAGAGTTTCTGGCTCGAATTGTCGCTCAAATCTTCTGGAGCTATTTGTCGTTTAGCGTTGTCATCGTTGCAAATGGATTCCCTGAGATTCATTTTCATGTCACGATAAACTTCCTTGGATCCTTTGTAAAAAGCAGTCGCTCCTGCGCTTGACTTTGCGGTCATCACGACGTTATCTACATATGTGTTGTTGTCAATTTCCCGAGCGATCTCTCCGTTTCTCGTGTTGTGCTGGAGGTGATACTTGATCGTTTCGTCAGCAAAAAAGAGGAGCAAATGAGTCCGAATGTTACGCGGCTAAAGCGATAGGTGATGATGTTTTCCTGACAAAGAGGTTGGCCTGTATCCTTCACCCAAAGAAATCGAGTGGCGTCTCTGTCCTGCATATGAAGTCGTACTTGAAGGAATGCCTTTTCGACGTCACTGGTAACTGCAACATCGCCTATTCTAAAGCGGAGAAGGATATCACATAAATTGGGGAGCAAAACAGGTCCTCTATAGAGCACGTCGTTGAGCGATGGAGCGTCCTTCAGATGTGCGGAAGCGCGAATACGATCCTCAATTTAGTTGTGCTCTTCTGAGGAGTAATGACTGCACGATGTGAGAAGTAATAAACAATTTCTCCATCCGGAACTCTGGTTTCGTCCACTTCTTCTATAATTCCTTCAGTGAGCTGATTTTGCAACGTTTCCTGGTACTTTTGGAGTAGTTCGGGCTCAGCACCCATTCTGTTTAGCAGCGTTTGTAAGCGACGTATGGCTAGTCCCTTATTGTCCGGCAATTGCTTGGCGTCTCTCCTCCAGGGGAGTCTCACCCAGTGACCATCCTCTTTTTCTTCGATCGTCTGTTCAAACGTCTTCCAGACGGCCTCGTCTGTTCGCTGACGTTCCTCGGCTTTCGGTCCAACAAACTCATCCACACCCGTTGATTCGAATGTGCAAAAGTCCTCCCACAATTGCGAATCTGCTTCGTTTGCGACTGTGTTTGCAGAATTCACCGTCGCTGGTTCCCCGTTTGCCTCTGTAGAGCTGTGGTTGCGTCCTGCAACGAGATATCCCAGTCTCGAAGGGATCAACTGTAATCCAGACAGAAGGTATAGCGGTGCTAACCCATTGCTCAGAAGTGTGAACATGTCCGAACATCCAAGAAGAATCTGTGGGTGGATGTGGGTTGAAGTTGCGCTTATCATTAGCTGTAGATCCTTATCACAGAGAAATCGCTTGTCCTCCAAGCTGAGGCTCCTGCGCTGTATGGATTCTGTGACTGTTTCCATTCTTGTCACCGTGAATGAGTGAGGGGCTCCTTGTGCGTCCCATAGCTGTAGAACCGTAACTCCACACGTCTTCACCATTGGTTTGTGTGTACCGAACGTGTTTATTGTGAGTTGTCTGGAATCGACGTCTTGTTATTGTAGTCTGTCGGCAAGTGGGTTGCTTATGAATGAGCGATCAGCTCCAGAATCAAGCATGACGTGCACCTTTTCTAGCCTTTTGCTTTGCGTATTGAGAACCTGTGCCTGTCCTGCCAGAATGAGGACGTCCGCTCGATTGCTGACATGGAGCACAGTATCCATTTCTTCGGTTTCTACGAGTCCTTGTTCGGACGCGTCTGTATTCATCTTTGCTGCCGTAGGCTGTGTTGATGTGAAGATTTGGCTGAAATCTTCTTGGTTGCCTTGCCCTGTTGAGGTAACCGAGGTGCTTCATTTGGAAATAGCTTTGTGCAAATGGAAGTATGATAGCTTTGTGCAAATAGAAGTATGATGTCCAGTTATTCCACAGGCTCGGCAGGCTCTCTAGGGACAACTTGTTGCAAGGTGATCCTTTCCTCCACAATTTTTGCAAAGTTTTCTGGTCTTCAAAATCTGAAGGCGTTCATTGAGTGTAGACACTTCAGGACAACTTTTCGCCGGGTGTCCTGGCTTGCTGCAGTAAAAGCATGTCGATGCTGGGGCACGCGTTGTCTGTCTTCCTCCATTCTGAATTTCGTAATGGCTTTCTCCTGCCTTTCGCCATAGCTTGGCTGCCTCTGCTCAACTTGAACGTTGATTTTGAGCTCACTCGTGACGAATTCCTTTGCTTCTGCTAGCAGAATCTTGGTGCTCCATGTGCCTTCGCTTCTTTTCTGCTTTTCTGCCGTAGGACATGTCGTTGGATTTCCGTGGAGAACTTGCTCAGTAATTGTTTCTGCAGGAAAGTGTTGCTGATGTGCTCTCCTTTTCAGTTCCAGCTGCAAGGCGAGCGGAGAGAGCTGGTCGCACGACGCTAGTTGATCGGCTGAGCAATAGCTTCTAGCCCTCGATGCTTGAAGCTTGTCTACCAGTTGATCGACGAGTGCTTGTGTATTGATATACTTTTCCTGTAGATGGGCAATGACGAGAGAATATGCGGATCCCGAGACTTGTAATTGCTTTACGGTCTCTTTCGCCTCGCCTTCAAGGGTTTCGAGAAGGTAGTTGAATTTGTAGACGTCGTCCACGTTCCTCGAGTGCACATTATGGTCGAAGGATCTCCAAGTTGTATCCCAGATGTCGCCGCTGAATCTGGGATCGGCCCCAGTTTCAGCTCCGCAACTTCGGAAGATGGTGTGTGAGCTTGTGCCTGGTCCTCCAGCTCTTCCTGCAGTTGTGCCAACTTCGATAGCGCGAGATGGGCGCATTCCAAAATCTCTTGAGTGGTGTCGACACTCCCTTGAGCTCGCTTCAGGAACTCCTCCTTCGATGGTGTGTCGATGGGTAACTCATCCACCTTGCTGCTATATTTGCACAGCGCATCCTCGACTTTCCCGACTTCCATTGACAGCGTTGCCTTGGTCACTCGAATCCGTCTGTTAAAGTCCTTCACATCCCCATGTTTGAGGTTTGAGTCCAACCGCCTGGCGAATAATTGCTCGTTTTCGTCCAGAATCGCGGATAGCCTGTTGTTAGCGCGGGTAAGAAGTCCTTGTCTGGTAGCCAGCGAACTAGTCATTGTTTAAGGATGTTCTCAATCAAACGTTAATTTTTCTCTGTACAGACAGTATATATATATTATTTTTTTTGCACAACAGAAAAGGTTTTTTGAGCAATTGAAAGGGTTTTTTCCTAACAATGTTGCGATGACACCCACTTTATGTCGTATGGCCGTATCGCAAGTTCCGAGCCGCTGTCGCCAGTTGTACGTGAGTTCGAATCGTCGTCCGTCCTTTGGGTCGATTCCTTGACTGTCCTTCGGTATCGGATCCTTGATTGTTCCTTCAAATCGATTTCTTGACTGTACTCGATCTTCTCAGTTGTCCTCGAGTCCGTGCTGGTCGCGATGCACCATACATTGTCCGTGGTCCAGCGGCACCTCAAACTTGGGTAATTAAACGTTTATACAAATATTAATAAACACACAATCAACAAGAACATGTGAGAAATGAGAGAGCTGTTGGGAGCCAGATGGAAGCAAAAAAGGGCGAGAATAAGCGACTGGTGGGCTCCTTGGTGTGAGCTCCTCATATAGCGCCAGATTCCCGCGCGATCAGAGTGACCTCGTCGTTGACCACCCAATCCGATATGCCGATTGGACCGCCACCAAAGAAACCCTGAAGATATATTGATTTGATAGAGGAACCTCTATAGTAACCGTAGTCCAGAGGTAGAACGATTACTTCGCTATCTTCTCACGTTTCCACAAAACATCTCATCTAAAAGTGGGGAATTTCACATAATGCGCCTACCACTACTGCAATCCTAAATGAAGCTCTTTCGAAAATTGAAATATAGCCCCTTGTAGATCTCGAGGAGAGCTATCAGCTGGTGTACTTTTCAAATCGCGTGAATAATTTCTTTAAAAGTTATGGCGAGGCGACTGTTTGCGACGGTTTTTACCCGTCGCAAACCCTCGATTGAACAAAAAATTAGTATCAGTATTGTAGTGATATCACTATGTCTCCTCTTAATTATTAGTATCCTAGTTGCGACCCGGCAGCCCTTGATCATCAATCATTTTTTAGACCTACTGGCCAAGATAGACTAAATACTAACTGAATTACAGCAAGAATACGAAAAATTTCAAGGTGTAAATCGCTTTACGATTCTGTTGAGGGGTTGTTCACGATTCTGTTGAGGGGTAGTTTACAAGGCAGAAGATTTACTCTGTGAAGGTGTAGAGCTGAAGAGTTATCTTTTTGTGCCTTATAACTTTACTATACTCGAGCGAGCTGCAATACTGCTCCTAATTTTTGAAACGACTACCCGTTCCGACGGTTTTGTAGCATCGCAAACCGTCGCACCGTCACAACTTGCTCCTCGAAAGCGAGTAGAATGAAAAGATCTTTACAGCAATGGACTCGTTTCTCTGTGGCGAGTCCAACCGTATGCAATACTACTAATTTGGTTACACTGGTGATAAGTTATTCCATAAAAACTATCGTCGATCCCTCGTTTGACAGTCTCGCCTCTCCTCGGTTCTATTATATCTCCAATCGGGGACCCGCTCTCAGCTACCGCCTCGATGGTAACGCCTCACTTCGAGCCTTTCTCCACTTTTGATTGGGCGTTAATGCCACGAACTTCTCTAGCTCCTGTATCCGTCTGGAGAGATCGGGTCAAGTGCTAGATGCATGGGCAAGGTCTCGCGAAGTACAAAACACACATCAGCTAGGCGGAGCTCCGAACACAGTGGGTGTGGCATGCATCGAAAATGAACTGTACTGACAACCAAGACTTCAAGTTTCATAACAGAGCAGCCTCGAAACTAGGGAAAAGGTGCGCATTGGTAAGTCAGATAGAATTAGGGAAACCCAACCTCGGTGGGGGAACGCTCTTCAAAAAGCAGCCCTCAATGGGAAAGCTCTACGAACAACTTGAACTCAGCCCATTGGACCGCGTCGACTCGATGCTCTCGCTTAGACGGCGGCTGATTATTGTGATCTGACAAATCCAAACTTTGCCATAGTTGGCTCACCTACTCCAGAGTCCCTTCTCCCTCTAAGGCTTAGTCCTAGGGTTGTCACCTTCCTTCTTGGGCTTTGGAGTCGAGTCAAGCGCGGTCTCCTAATCGATTGCGCTCTGGCCTTTCGCAGCAGCGACCACAGGGCATAGTTCAGGTAGCCACGTAATCAGTGGAAAAATTCACAACTCGGTTAGGTGAAAGTCTATTGAACAGAAAAAAATCGGTGTGGCGAAGCAATGTCTAGGGAGTTGAGTTCCCAGCATACGTGACGTGAGCGGAAGACCGCCAATAAGTGGCGAAGCGTGTCCTGAATTAGAGAGCGTTTCCTACAGTTCGGTCCCGAGAAGTGTTGAATGCTAAAGGTGGGCGCGGTGCGCACAAGAAGGGCGGAGTTTGCTAGCAATTCATAACTCTTCTCCATAAAGCCGTGAGACCGGGAAAAACGTGAATAGAGATCAGCGAAGAAAGTGAAGATAACCGCCATTGGTGGGCAGGGCATGCACCAGAAAAGGCGGGATTATTCACAGATTGTTATACTTTGGTCCAAAAAGCCGTAAGACCGGGAAAAAAGTGGATCGGGTCTCACAACGGAAGGGAGGTCATTGCTATCGGTGTATGGGACGTGGTCTAGTGCGGGCGAAGTTTGCCTCAGTGTTATAATTCAGTCTCTAGAGATCATTAAGACCAGGAAAAAAGTGGTTATAGGTCAATGACAATGGCTGACGAAAAAGGGGAGGTCAGAAGCCGTCGATGAATGGAGTGAATAGAAGCGAAATATTCGTAGTTTAATGGGCCAAATTTGAGAGTATACGCCGCACCAAACCATTATCGCCGCAGAGCTGTTTTGTGCGCGCCGCGCGAGCTCATAGAGGAGGAAACGTGCTGATTATTAGAAAATGCATTGCATGTGCGGTGAAAACGTATTTGAACAGCACTCTAATGATTGAAATGTGGGAGTTTGAATATCAAGATGGTTCCGCCTTTTCGATCCTACCAATAAGCCCGGAGCTTTTTTTATAAGTTGTAACACGAGACGTGTAAATGTGCACAAAAAAAGGACCAACGGGACGATTTTCTAGAAAACTGAAAATTCAAAAGTTTGGGTAACAGTCAGGAAGAAAACGATTTGTAGTCGTTCACTTGAACAGCGACTTTCTAATGGGAATAAAGTTCATCCCAATGAACTCCCAACCTTCAACTTCACAACAAGAAAAGTTTGAGATGCTGGGCAATCAGTCACTGGAAGAAAACTCCAGCCTCTCATAGATTTGCTGATTATAATGTTCTTCTTCTGGCAACGGAGGTTTTAGGTGGGGATTTTATTAGTGGCCTGACGTCTCCGCGATCGTCTTCCTCAAGGTATAAACGTGGCTCAAGGGCTGAGAAACGTCCTTCAGACCGCCACTGGCCTCCTCTCTCAATATTTCTGTTTCTATTTCTGACGGTACATTAGGGGAAAGAACTGGAAACCCAAACGAAGAAACGAAAGGTCAAGCCAATAATAAGAATTCCATATAAAAACCTGGGTGAAGAACGTGCGCGCCAATGGGAAGCACGCGATGGAGTCGCATGTTTCCGCATCTCTACTCAAAGTAAGTGTTACGGAGAGCGGAGGGGAGGGAGAGGCGGGGATGGTATCGAGACTCTTCAAGGGGAAGGGGTCGTATGACTCTAATCGATTCAATGTGACGGTTGGCTCGCGGAGGCAATATGAAATACAAGACGGGAGCTAAGAGCGGGTGAACGTCAACAGAGTCGTTGGGACCCTGCGTTGCTGGTCACGCAGTTTCTGTGTGCATAATTCTAACTGAGCCTTAGAGGAACGCTCTGTGAACCCGTCTTTTAAACATTCAACTTCAACCAATGCGCGCATAGTTTCAATTCCCTCAGATTTTTTCTTTTTTTGGTTTCCAATATTACTATTATGAAATCGAAAATAATTTTGTTCACGGCACTTTCTATGGAAAAGCCAGAGCATGGGATTTGGAGCTCGGTATTCGCGCCCCTCAGATTATTGTGAGCTGCAGGGAATTGGCTGCTCCTAGCGTCAAATCCAAAAAATCCCGCGCATCTCGGCAGCGCGACGACCGGACGACTGTAGACCGTTCCCTACTTAGAGCTGATCCCCGATTGGAGAGGTAGTGGAAATTAGGAGAAGCGAGACTGTCAAACGAGGGATCAACAACTGTTTTCATGGAATAACTTATTACAACTTTAGCTAAATCAGTAGTTTTCTACATGGTTAGACTCGCTACAGATAGCCGAGTCTAACACTGTAAAGATCCTTTCATTTTACATGCTTCGGAAGAAGTTATGACGATTCTACGGTTTGCGACGTTACAAAACCGTCACAACGCTTAGATTTTTCGGAAATCAGGACCAGTATTGTGTCTACGTTGAGTGTTTACAAGAAGTCATTCGGCTGCTGCCAAAACCTACCCTAAATATCGTGTAGAGGAAAAAGTGTTTTAATAATGTTGCCTTGGCACGGTTGCTGATAGACCATTTATCTAAAAATCGTGGTAAATGAAAGTAATCACTTGCGACTAGTGATTTCACCTTTGCACCTCGAGTCGGTCTCTCTTTTTCTGTTCAACTTGGAATCGTAGGATTTTTGACATTGTCGCCATCCACTTTATGGATTTTCCTTCTATCTAATGAAGCATTACCGATCTGTTGAGAATTCCTTGCAAACGTTCCCTTTTCTCCTGACCTTCTGAATTTTTACAGTTCTCTGGAGCTGACCGTACTCGCCTCTGCTTACTTTGTGGTGGGCATTTGGACAAATTCAGTAAGGATGGCCACAATTTGTACTGGGACACGTATATACTAGTTTCGATCATCTGAAAGTAATTGGCATAACTAAAAGTGGAATGTTCTTAGTGAAAGTATTAGTCAGGTACGCTGTGTTAATCATTGAATTCCTGTCCGCCTTACTCTGCATTGTGTACATCTTCCAGCAAGTCAACCTTCGGCGGCTACCACACATTGCCAAGAATGTTAAAGCCACGCTCGGGACTAGACACGCTCATCTGTTTCACCCCAAACAG